TGGATTATCTTACATCTAATCTAAGCAGAAATATCTGAGAAAAAAAGACTTGTACTTGATGGTCATTTTGACTGGAAATTAAATAAACAAAGGGTGGTCTCTGACTTTTGCAAAACATTGTTTTTGTAATATTTTGATGAATTTGATAAGAGCCACAGCTGCTGTTTTAAACAGCTGTGATAGAAATAACAGAAACAATGACCATAAATGAAACATAAACTACACTAGGCCTGTCTGGAGATTGTGAGGATTACAAAAATCACCATTCACTGTGGATTATGTGCAAGCATCTTACAGCTACACGCCACTGGGGGAATCTTGATAAAAAAGACAGAAGAGGCAGTCTGTGATACAAGCTGACATATGCAGCAGTTACAGTCCAAGACTAACAGTATTACCTGGGCTACAAGTGATTGTATATCTTCATAAGTTTATTATATGTGCAGTAGAGTGAGTTTACATTACCAAGTTTAGAATCACTTTCATATATGCATAATTTTGTTATACACAACACCAGCTCATATAATGAAGATTTAAATACTCAAAAGGGTCAATTAGATGTTACATTCAATAGTTCAATTATTTTGGCAATAACAAGAATTTAAATGATAACATACTGTAATTATCTATTGACAGGAATCAAGCTATCTGCTTTGAGATGTGATTGTCACTTTTGAAATACCTTCTAAATATTGTAAAAGAATATTAGAATATTTAGAAAATATTATAAAAATGTAATAAGCAGAGATGTTATCAAGGAGGAGGAGACAGATCAGTGGTTAAGATATGAATGGGAAAGCTTCCAACACTGAACATGGTGTCAGTTTATAGAGAAAGTTCCACCCTTCAGTAAAAAGAGCCAATCAGCTTGCTGGTAAAGCCACTAGTGGGAAAGCCCCCCTCAGATGTGGAGATCTACACAAGCGCAGTAGCCAGAACAGCCTGAAAAAAAACAAAAAAACACATTTTTATGAGTTACTTGAGCCAAGTTCCATAAACCATTTAGGAGATATTTATCAGATTTTATGATTTCAAATATGTTATAGAAATGGTTATTCGGCCTTCAGTTTTAATTTTTTTAGTTTCTCCCCATTCAAAGAGACAGGAGTCTGGTCTTGTATGGCTGGAAATAACTGCCAAGTTGGCTGCTGAATGAACAGATTCTCCCGCTCCAGGGACATGAAGCTAGCGAAAAAGCTAGAGAGTAACGTTACCGCTAGTCAAGAAAACATTGCTGTGAAATTATTATCCATACCGTTTTCTAGATTCACTTTTAATGAAAAGTTGGAGTTAATCGGCAAATGATGACCCACACCAAAGCTTAATTTCGTGCAAAAAAGCCTTTAAAAGGCATTTCAATTCCAGCAATTACATCATGATACACCTGGATGACAGGATCCACCAAGGAGCAAAAGCTCTACTGCTGGGACTGCTTGCTGTTTGGTGGGGAGAGTGGGTCTTGGGCCAGATGGATTTTGTGATTTAAGAAGTTTGCCCAAATCAGCCCATCACCATCAGAATGCTTGAGAAGCGATTGTTCATGAATTTAAAGGCAAATGATCAGTTGCATGACCCCGCCATCAACTTCATCCAAAAGGACAGGAGGATGGACTTTGTTTTCAAGTCGTCAAGTAATGCCCTGATCAGAGGGTAGGTTATTTAAAATCTGCTGGCTTTTGGCCACCACTGACACTGTTTGTGTAATGTGAAAGTTTATTTGGGAAAACAGGCATTATGCGGAATTACCGGTCATTTTTCTGATGCTAATGTTTCTGTCACTCCTGGCTACTTGGCTGCATGTGTGTTGTTGTGATGTGAACCCCGGCCCGTCATCTCCATATTCCTCTGAAGTGCACACAGAGCTTCTATGATGATGCAATTATTTGTAAGGAGAATTTGCATTTTGCTTAAGAAATTAGCTATTTTGTTCAGGTGATATCGTCTCTGTGCTATTTGCTCGTTGCATTTTAAGGCTAAACTATCGTCTTAATTTTTGTTTCTTAACTTTTGCAGTACTTTAGGAGGGGACACAAACTAGGCTGGGCTGTTTTTCAGACGTGGTCAAGAGGGTAAGAGGGCCGAGGTTTAAGAGTCACAGTTGGTACTGCCTACAAGGCCTTTGTTAAAACGTGATGCAGTCACTTACATCTACAGTGCTGTTCATCATCCTGGGCAGTTTTACAGTTTCCTACTAGGACTTGTATACTTTTAGACAACAGGCTTTCACATGGTACCAAAAAGGTTTCTCTGACGTAACAATAGCAGAACTCTGTTTGGTGCTCTTCATCTTTAAAGGGTTCTTTAAACCATGCAAAGAACAATTTCTGCATTTAAATAGTTTGTGTCATGGTTCTGTACAGAACTCATGAAGAATCTCTTTTTTAAAGAGAGTGTATTATAATAATTTTCACCAAAGTGTAACTGGCTTTATATCATTGACAACATTGATTCTAGAACTGTACTGTATATCTATGCAAGTATAATATCTATGTTCAGGATGAATGAAATGTATTGAATCAAATTAAGAAAAGAAAACATCGAGTTAAAGGTTTAAGTGACAAATGCAGAGCATAAAAGCCCTCTGACCACACGACCGTCCAATCAACTCCATTCAGCCTGAAAAGCGAATAGCTTTCTTTAACAAACTCAGATTGACTGAATAACACTTACACAAAAAACATTCACAGCAGAAGGAATGGAAGTGGTTGCTGTGGCCATTTTCATGATTCATGCACCCTGGGTTAAGAGCTGATTGAGAACTCTAGGAAAAGGTTTCTTGGATATAACAGTTGAGTTTTGTAGTGGTGACATTTTGTAAAGGGCTGTTTTGAGTCTACTAAAATGAAGCAGTCAGACATAGTGACTGAATTCCCCTTTCTTTGCTTGCCTGATCCAAGTAGAATAGAACACAGTGGCTATTTAGTTAGCCAGCAAGCTAACTGCTTCCTCAGACTGGAAGTTGGAATCAAGAGTATTAAATCCTTATTTTACCCTTGTTTCAATGTAGGGGAAAGCACACGGTAAGTTCACCTCAATAAAAAGTAAATATAATTTTTCATATGGATTTATCTTACGATGAAATAAAGATTAGCCACTTTTAACATATTCAAGCAACTTTATTTTGATTTATTTGAAAAAACGTACTGAATGTAGTACAGAAAATGAAAATGAAAATATGGTCAGGGCTTTAAATGAGCCACTTGCACCTTTTAAGCCCACTTATTTTTCATTTCAGAAAAATAAGCAATTTTAATAATTGATGCCTTTATGAACAACAGAACATTTGAACTCAGGCTGCTCCATCTAAGCTGACTAGTTGACTAATCATAGTGCTTTTAGTTGACTAAGATTCTCTCAGTCTGCTAATCACATTTATTTGTATAGTTATACACTCACACCTTTGTTTATTTTTACAAAGCTGTAGATATTTCTGGAAAATTGGGTCACGTAGATGTCAATCTCTGTATAAGTTAGTTCATCATTGTGCTTTACTGAACGTTTTATTCATGTGTGTCGGTCATATTCTGGGAACCATACTATATGGCTCAAAGTATGAGGACACTCCTCTTAATTTTTGAGCACAGGTGTTTTAGCCACACCCATTGCTAACAGGTGTATAAAATCAAGCACATGCAACCTCCATAGACAAACAGTGGTAATAGAATGGGTCATACTGAAAAGCTCAGTGATTTTAATCATGGCCCTGTCATAGGATGACCCTTTTACACAAGTCAGTTTGTGAAATTTCTATCCTGCTAGATCTGCCCCTGTCAACTGTAACTGCTATTATTGTGAAATGGAAGCATCTAGGAGCAACAACAGCTCAGCAACAAAGTGGTAGACCAAGCAAACTCACAGTGTGGGGATGCCAAGTGCTGAAGCGTGTAGTGTGCACTACAGAGTTCCAACTGTCTCTGGGAGCAACATCAGCATGCAAAATGCGTCACTATCTGGCAGTCTGATGGATGAATCTACGTTTAGCGCATGTCAGGAAAACGCTTCCTACTGGAATGCATTGTGCCAACAATAAAGCTTGTTGGAGGGGGGATAATGGTCTGGGGCAGTTTTTCAGGGTTTGAGCCCCTTAGTGCCAGTGAAAGGTCATGTTAAGGCTGCAGCATACTAAGACATTTTAGACAATTATATGCTTTCAACTTTGTGTCAACAGTTTGGGGAAGGCTCTTGACTGTTCCAGCACAGCTGCACCCCTGTAAACAAAGCAAGACATGGTTTGAACACCTTTGGGATGAACTGGAACGTTGACTGTGAGCCAGGCTTTCTCATCCAATATCAGTGCCTGACCTCACAAATGCTCTTTTCTGAATGGGCTCAAATTTCCACACACACAGACTCCAAAATCTTGTGGAAAGTCTTCCCAGAAAAGCACAGGCTGTTATAGCTGCAAAGGGTGGGGCGGTGGGGGTAACTCTGTATTAATGACCATGGTCTTGGAATGGGATGTCCAACAAACTCAAGTAGGTATGATGGTCAGGGCCATATAGTGTATCTCAAATCAAATGAATTATATCTGCTCAAAACTTGCAATGGCACACAGATTATGTGTGTTTATTGGATGAAATTCATCATTCATATTCAAGTATTTTTTGCATTTTAAAAAATATTTAACAATACAAAAGCCTTACAGGGATACATGAGCTTATATGGGACTTTTCCCTACATAAATGCTCTTGCATTTAGAGACCGAGCGTCGGAGGAGTGATATTTTCATGGAGGGTCATTTTGAGTCTACTTAAATGAAGCAGTGACAGCTAGTGAGTGGATGTCTTTTCTCTTTACCCATTTATGCCACAGACTGTGGAAGATTTGGCTGCTCCAAATGGAACATGACTCAGCCTTTTACACATCAGACTATAAACGAACACTGCTGTGTAGGCCTCGCTTGCTCATGCAGATGACGCATTAAAAAAAGATAAAAGCAACAATGTGCAGTACGCTGTGGCAGTGTACACAGGCACACCTGAAGATCAAAGGCAGTGACAAACCTTCTCCAGACATTTTTTATTATCAAAATAAACATATTCATTTTAACATCATTATTCTGGAATTTTTCATGGCTCAAAGGAACCGCTTGCAGCCCTTCATGTAGTGCCATAATGTCATTTTCACCATATATAACAGTAAAGTACAGCATGATATTTTCAAGGAGAAGAGATCCAAATATACTGAATAATCTGCACTGTGAAAGACAAAGAAAAAAAAAAACAGTTTGTTGCTCTTCTACCCACTTTATGTATGAACATATAAGCCACCTTCATTCTTCATTTTGTGAGTGAAGTAATGACACTAACTTTACCACAATGATTACTGTATCTACAGCTGATTCATCCAATTCAGCCCAATTCAGGTTCCTAATCTGGATTATTTTCAAACTTTTGCTGTCTGATGCACTGGATGCTGGATGCTGGGCTGCTGAACTGATTCTATGACTGTAATTCGCTCTCATTTTACATTTAAGGTTGGAACATAGACAATTTCAAAGTTTTTTTTACCATTTCATATATTCAGATTTGGTTTATACCAGTGTAAATATCCCCATTCTAACACCCTCATTTTTGTAATCTGATTAATTTTCTGCACAAATTAAGGAGATATTTCACTGAAAACATAAATCCTTCCAAACAAGCTAAAAGATGACCTCCTAAAAGTAATAAAACAATATCGAAGATTTTTTTTGAAGCTGTTTTGCTATTAGTAATTCGTGCTGAGACAAAAAAGAGAAAAAATAAAGAAAATGTATACATATCAGAGGCTCAAATTTCTGGTTTAAAGCAGGTTACTGGATTAACCATTAACTCTCTCTCATGTAAATCCATCTGGCCAGAGGTGTGTAGGGAGTTATGTGCATAAAAAGTCACTCATCCCTCTGCAGATTCTCTTTTGTCAGGAGCGTACCAGCCGCTCTGTTCTGAAGCTTTATAGAGTCCATCACTCATTAGTGTCCATCACTATTTTAACTCGGAAGCAATGCTGTCCATCTTGCCTGCTCAGTTTCAGCAGAATAGAGGCTGCTAGCTGTTGTTCTCTGCGGTCATGTATTTAAGTGCAGCGAAGCCGTAGCGTCGGGACATGTTCTGCTGAAACTCCTCTTTCAGAGTCTTGAGGCAAACGCGGTACTGTTCGTTTGAGCGGAACTTGGTGATGTCGAAGCTGGGCGCATGAGGCATGTGGATCATGTAGGCGTTCGGCAGAACCACAAACTCATATTCCTGTAAAAGGAAACAAGAAAGTGAGCTTAATACATAATAAAAGCAATCATGTCAACAAAGTGACATCAGCCCTTATTATACACAACAGACTGGTTCACCTTTGACGTTTTAGCACAATCAAACTTTGGTTTGGTCAAGAGTGAACATACATGAGCATAATGTTAAAAAAAAACAGAAAATCAATAATAATATCATCAGTAATATCAACAATATTAATAAAAACATAAAAATCAAGGATAATAACAATAATTGGGCATGAGTCATTTACTTTTGGCTCATACATGCATAAATTAGGATGTTTCATGTATATAATATGTATATTAAAGTTAATTTGGTGTGTTGGTGTATTTACGGCATGTAAATACTGGACTTATGAGTGCGTGCTTGTTTCCATGGTGCAGAAGTTGACTGACCAATTGCGGCTCAAATCAACACTCATTTTGTTGTACTACAACAGTTTTAAGAATCAGATGTAGATCAGTTCGTAGTTCCAATCTGTGTTTATTCCTATGCAACTTTCATGAAGCACCAGTATGCTGTAATTCTTAGACATTCCTTTCATGACTCCTATTTATCTGCGCTGGTTTAGAACCTCTGTTACTTTATGACATATAAACGGACGAACTGACAGAAAGTTCTAATATTATCTCAAATGTCTCAATACCAATTAACAAAACCACAAGGTGAACGGTGACTATTACAACCAGTTTGTATTTTTTTTCTAGCCCCCATTGCGAACTTGGTCAGACAACAGCACGTTTTCTCAGTGACATATCCAGGACTTTCAATAGGCCTAGAGTGGCCTTTTTTTCTCACAAAATATGTCCCACCCATTGGAAATCAAAACATAATTGGTTGATTCCACTGTCACTCCCTAATTATGGTGGTGGTTAGTCAAGTGCCCATGTGTCAAACACAAGGCCTGCTGGCCGTATCTGTATTAAAAGTATTTTAATTTTCTATCGATATTAGCTTGTTTCACAATGCGCTGCACTACAGTCCCCAGCATGCACTGCATCATAATGTGCACTCCAACTCTCCTCCCCCAACAACAACCTACGGGACAGTGGTTACACCTCCGTTCTATACAATTCTACACAATTCTACACTATTCCACACCAGTCATGTCACCAAACACACTAGCTGTGTTTCAGCTGCAGTTCAATCAGTATACTATGTTACATACATACATTATATACAATAAATACTTAACATTAGCTCAGCAGCTCAGAAATTGAGCCCAAGTATTAATGAACTTGCAGCAAAGAAAGGGTGCCAGGTGTCTAGTTCAAGCAAACAGGTAGTTTTAAAAGACCGAGCTCCTGGGCACATTTAAATTTTGAATATTTCAAGTATGTATGTAATCTCTGAAGGTCTACAAATATCTGTATTTTACTGTTGAAGTTCTTGCGTATTTTGAATAAACAACGGTCATTTCGGGTTATAGCAATAAAAACACAGGTGTTCTCTGGCCCACGGATTTGTTGAGATTTTTTAATATGGTCCATTAAGTGGTTGAGTTTGACACCCCTGATCTAGCATGTGAGGCCTTCTGTCCAGCTCCTGAAAGCCTAACCAATGGGAAAGCTCGCTTGGATGTATGTACCAATATATTACAAGAAAAAAAATCCACTGGGCATTTCAAAATCCTACCTGTTTTGTTTCCAACCAAAACTTAACAACGAAATAAGCGCATAACTAAAATACTTGCAGAGTTTATACACATGAAGCATGAAGACTGTATCAAATAAAAATGAAGTAAAAATTACTGACATATTTCTTAGAAAGGCTTAGACGGCCCTGAGGTTTCCTCACTGATAAAACCTGAGGTAAATGGTGCAGAAAAACACTGCTACACAGCGAGATACTGTGTGATCCAAATTTAGTTTTTATAAGTGTATCTAATAAATTTTTCCTAGTGATGCAAATGCATACAGATCAGAGATCAATACTCAGGGCTCAAAGCAGCTGGCCGAGGTAAAGAAAATAAAACATAAGCAAGAAGAGGATAAATTACAGTTTTGTGAACAAAGTGGGCCAGAATAAGAAATGTATTAAACACTGCAGGTTAAAAAACGCATTAATTATTTCTTGATCTATTTTAATGAATCAAATAAATCATTTCAGTTCGCTCCATTAACCCACACAATGTTCTCACGACCATTTGGCATGCAAGATGTGCAGCAGTGTCATTTAATTAGTGCAGAAGCCTCCTAGGTTGTGGAAGTGTTGAAATAAAGCGTAGTTATTAGTTTCATGCAGGATATGTATACATAGCACAAAAAGAGGTTCACTAATATTCCAATTTTGCTTCAAGTAAGAGGAAATAATAATCTTAGAAGGTTTAGGGAAAAGTGCCACCTTTACATCTGCATGATTAATGCAGTGAGTTGTCACAATGATTTGATCGATTTGATTGTATTAAAGGTTTAATGAACCTATCACTTGTCTTGATTGCATTTTAAAATAATATAAGGATAAGGATAAAATAAGGATAACTTGAAGGCTTTTGTTTTTTTCAAGATGTTAAATGTAAGACTGTCAAAGCTGACAAGTTAGTAGTGCATTGATGCAATAAATTATTAATGGCACTAATATTTAACAGCATTAGCGCATTTTATTAATTTCACCCTTCAAACTGTCCACAGTAGTGCAGGCTGAAACCCAGCTGCCAACTTTTATATGGCTTTTAGAGCAATAGTTTTAGCACCTCTGGCAAACCACGCTGGACAGTGCTCACAGCTTTGGCTAAATCAATGTGTAGCAAACTAACAAAAGCAAGAGCAAAGTGGAAAGATACAGTTTCCCTTGAAAGCCTCTACACTCTCAGAAAAAAAGGTACAAAACTGTGCCCCCTTATCACTGGGGCGGTACCGTCAAGGGTACAACTTTAGTCAGGAAGCATAACTGTACCATAATCCATTGAAATTATATTTTCTAAGCTGTATTGACGAGACACACCCCGTCTCGTCTCCAGGCTTTTTATTTTATTGCTCTATTTTAAAACATTGGGTTATGAAAGGTACAAATACATACTTTTCACCTGGAAAAACTTATTTAAGGTGCACAATTGGACCTTAAAACCACTGCTGTACCTTTGAGGGGACAATTACATTGCTTGTACCTTGTTGAACAAAAAGTGTACCAGCACGGTACCTTTATTTCTAATCATGTAGTGTATCAAGAATCCACCAGCTGTCTGAATGTGAGTGAGAGTGAGAAGCTACAGTCATGGAAGAATAGGAACCATTGACTGTACATGTGACACAGACACTCATTGGTTGGAATGTGCAGCCACTGTTGCTCTCACTGGATCAATGATGGACATTGGACACTGTATCTACTCTCTGGAAATCATGTGATTTTCATGGTCAGTTTATGTGAACCCAGCACTCACATAATGAAACTAATGTTACTGTATATAACTGAAAGTAATAAATCCTTTCTGATTAAGCTTGTTTTGTTCACTTATTTAGCTATTATTTACTGTTTTTGAATGAAACCCACAAGTCTGACCTTCAAAATTTCTCTGGATCAACATCACATCTCATGTTCAATGTACAATTATATAAGATGTTTGTAGCTTCTCCATTATAGCTTGGTCTGTTTTGACCTTTTACACAGCTCACAGAAGACACAGAAGGCAAACTGAGCTTACTATAAATGCTTTCTAGACATAATACTGCTTTATGATAAAGTGATCTGAGTGATGTGGCAGCATTCTACAGCTTCTACAGCTTACATGCAGTGGCCATTCACACATACAGCATTTGCAAGCAAGTTCTATAGTCATCCTTTTTCCATATCAGTCAAATCAGTGTCTTTACTCAATAAAAACAGAGTATGGTGCATGTTTTTATCTGTGTCAGCTTTCTGATTTGTGACTAGATGATTGTTTCACACCCAGTAGGCCTACTTTTTTCCCGCCTGGCATTTAAAATAGGAACCGTGGCTACTTTCTAAATGGTGCACGGCTTCTATGCTGCATCTGGGATGCACCGCCACTCTGCTTGTGGAGGCTGTGTGAAAGCTCTGACCTGTTAACACGAGCGCCGAAATGAAAAGCAAGGCGTATGTTTGAAACATGATTTAGACAGATAACCAAGCCTGACGGTTGTTGTGCTGCACTAACGAGAAAAACAGCTTAGCTATCTGACACAGACTAGATGGGCACTTAAAGAGATAAGTCAAGTAAAAAGTGTAATCAATAACTCTTTTTCGTTATAACTGGTTTAAGAATATTATGCTGGTGTTTGAACACAAGAATGGAAAAATTCATATATTGTTTCTGCTCAGTTTTTTAATTCCCTGTCTGAGCCCTGCTCTAGGTCTTCAGCGAAGTTTCTGTGGCTTATCTCAATGAAGAAGCATAAAGGTCAAATGGGTTACCTGTGCGTCCAGCTCCATAATGTGGGCTACTTTGTTCCAGCCGAATCCCACAAATCTGCGGTCATACTCAGGACAGTCCCTCCTCACCATCACATACGGCTCAAAGTCCGCCTCCCACTGCACTCTGTATGGCGTTGTGGCTGTTCGCCATTTCGCAAAGTTAGTCGGAGCGTGGCCTTTTGTCCATACATGATACCTGAGGAATTGATTTACAAAAGGTCAGAAGGTGTAGAATGCTAATGACATTAATACAGAGATTAAAGCCACATTTGTCCTTTTAAAGCTCACTACATTTAAAAGCATGTAGATAAGAGCATAAATGTGCAAAATCAACTCAGCCAGTACCAATTAATGAGTCCACTTACTTTCACATAAAACCACAGATCATAAATTAACCTTTCTTCTTGTTTGAGATGGTTTGCTGAGACTGCTTTTAACTCCTTAAGATCCCAGGTTTATTACATGCTAAGACTTATTATTCAGTAACCACAGGGACTTCAGTGCAAACTGATTGAGCTATTCTTAGGTTATAGAAGTGTATAAAAATGGCCTGGCAGTGGGCCCTGGCCATTCATAAGGGCTTGCCCCAGATACAAGACTGCAAGCTGTTACAAATTCACCATACACAGTATTCTCTGTATTCAATAATCTCACAGTATTCTTAGACTTTACAAGAGTCCCAAAAGACAAAATGAACCGATAAGTCTGGATAGCAAGAATAAGAATTTGAGTAGTTTGCAATTGGCCTGGGTGACAGGGCGATGTAGATATCAGTGATGACTGACAAGGAACTCGATGATGCAAATGCGATGTTCGCCATACTGAGAAAGAGAACTGAGAGAGAACCAGACAGGAGTAACTGATTTTAAACAGCTTGCTAAATGATATTATGCTCATGTAATGTTTTATTCACTTTAACTGTAAAAACAGTGGATTGTGAAGTAGCATTTATAAAACATAAGGCTGTGGTGAAGCAAATTTTCCACCGTCTCTGTAGCAGGTTTCCCATAAGCATGACATATCATCTGAGGAAAATCTGAGGAGTTATGAAAATAAAAATCTAATACCTCATTGTTTCCCATAGACATCTGTAGCTAAATTCCAGAGTGCATCCGCTATAGCGAGAGAAAACACCTCATGTTTTTTTATATGTAAATCACAGGGACGTTTCTTTGGAAGACCCTCACTCGCAGCCATTTAGCAGTCTGAAGTTTCTCCGCTAGGGGGAGCTATTAGCTTTCAAGCTGCTTTTATGCCATTTACAGAAAAGAAATAGCGCACAAATGTGCTTTGCATTTACAACTTTCACAACAAGAGGTGAAATAGTTACCAAAAGTGTTGAGTGTTGAGTTACTTAAATTTATATTATGTGATTTTAATTAGTTTTAATTAAGTTTTTCATTACATCAGTTTACAAGCAAAAAACAAGCTTTTAATATCGTCCAGGTCTAGTCTGCAAATGACCAGTTGAGATGTTCAAACTTCCTTGGTCATGATTTGTAACTCAGTCAAATAAATCTTACAATTGCAAGTCCTCATTGATATAATGAAGCTGTGTTTTTAACTGAAGCATTTTCACTTAACAATGAAGTGTTTGGTTATTTATTCTAAAATTAAGATTATTCACATTAGTAAACTTTTTTAGGCAAAGCAACTGCCAATTTAACCATTCTGTAAGGGACTGAATGGAATTGGATCAGCTAAAACACAATACAGGCTACAGATGGCAGGGTTAATGCACGCTGTGTGGATGGTTATATTTACCATAACACGTTATCTAGCTCTAAAATTACTGGCAAACTGATAAGGTAATTCATGCCATTTAGCCAAATAATTAAAGTTACTAAGGTTTACATGCACTGTCAGAAACAGGGTCGATTTCTGTTCTCCAGGGCAGTAGTTCCCAACTCGGTCCTGAGGGCCCTCAGATGGTCCAGATTTTCCTTCATCCCTATGTCTTGGAGCAAAAATGTGGACCATCTAGGGGGCTCTCAGGACCGGGTTGGGAATCACTGTCCTAGAGTACAACTGACATTACGGCACCCTCAAGGACTATCCACCCCAAGTAAGTCCATTTACTCATGCCTGCGAACACAACAGCTATGCCTTAACCTACAGTTTACCTGAAGGTGAATAGTGTCCCCATGTCGAGCTGGGACAGAAGCTCAGCCTTGGATTTGGGATAGGACAGCCGGTAACGCAGCGTTTCAAACGCAGGCACCACCAGAGCCTTCTTAGTGTTAGCCATGTCCAGCTGCACCACCGACTTCCTGCAGAACAGGTATTATATGTGGTTCAGATACTAATTATGAAGTAGGGCTGTGCAATTTGGACGAAATAATAGCACTGCAATTGTTTTGCTACATATTGTGATTGTAATGTGCCTTGCAATATATCAAAAACAGATTAGTGACTTAATAATGTTACATGGTTAAACACTGGCCTGGAATGTTTTGATAACATTTTTTCACACTTGTTGGATTACATGAAAACCTTGATTCATCAAAACATCCACAGAATCACTCATCTGGAAATGTGATTAGTTGAGATGCTCAAAGCACAGAATAAAAAACACTGACTGGCTGGAGGGCTCTTTTGCATATTGTAGCTATCTGTGTTGCAATAAGACAATGCTAATATTTACAGTATTGTGAAAAAGTCAGAGATCACCTTTAATTGTTTTTTTAATTTCCAGTCAAAATGGTCTTTAAGTACAAGTTATTAATTTTTCAGCGTCAAGACAAAAACCCCAGAAAATATATATTTAACAGAAAATTATACAGAAGCTAATATAAAATATTTTTTCAGTACTTAGTGTGTCCACTTTTTGCCTTTATTACAGGTTAAATTCTTTTCAGCAGAATTTTTTTAAGGAAATCTGAAGGGATATTTTCCCACAACTCCAAAGTTCAGTCTTAGAAGTTGGTTGCATTTCTGCTTCTCACAATCCAAATAATCTCAATTAAAAAGTTAGACTCCTTAGTCCATAAACCTTGCGGCACATCTCAGACATTTGAGCAGATTTTCTTCTTTTTTGTCTATATCCTTTTCTCATTAATGGCTTCTTGACAGATACACATCCTTTCAGATCCACAGTGTTGAGATGTCTTGCGCCTGCCCTACATTTGGTTTGCTCAATGTGTTTCTTGGTTTAAAGTCTTGTAGTTTGTGAGTCGGTATCAAACTCAGTGTTTCTACTAGTTTGTTTTGTTCATTAAAGTTTACTTGCACTTACATCCAGCCTCCTTACTCTCCACACACCACAGATGGACAGAAACACCCGTGGATTTTTTCAGATTTGAAGCAAGAGGGGGGCTTGATTTTCTCCTCTCTCTTGAAGATGAAAGTTTTAAGTAATATTTATGCGCTTATGAGAGTTTTGGTGGTCTACCAGGTCTTGCACAGTTGTTAGGAGTCTTTCACTATTTTTTTAAAGTCCAGTTTTGGATACTCCAATTATTTACAGCTGATTTAACTTCCTTAGAAATATCTCCTAAAAAATGAAAAACGTTGACTCGAAATTAAATCAATGAAAGGTGGACTCTGCACAGTAATGTACATACTGCATCATTTCTGGGAATTCTAGGAAAACCTCAGTTCTTCTAAGAAGCATTAAGAACATTCAGGGCGCCCAGCTATTTTTTGCAATGCTTAGTAATTTAACTATTCCCTGCTATCCCATTCTACTCCTGTAGGGGGCAATCTTACCTGAGGTACTCGTAGAGTCCGTACATGGGTAAGAAGTCGATGTCAGACAGGAACATGTAGGGGGTGTTGACCTGCCTCATGGCGACGTTGCGCAGCAGGTTAACCGGGTAGAACTGGCCCTCCTTATAGACGATGTGGTATCCCACGTTGCTCCTGCTCATGAGCACCTCAGAGCCCTGAGCGTAGCGCAAGAACTGCTGGGCCTCAGCATCAGACAGGTAAAGAGCCAGACTGATGGGACCCTCCCAGTGTTTACAGATGGCCTCCAGCATCTGCAGCCTGCAGTAGACAAACAGCAAAACCACTTTCTGTTAAAGTGGAAATGAGCTACTCTGCTGCCGAGCTGTTTATTCAAGCAACAAGGCTTAATCTGTGTTGCCTTCCTAACTTGTTGTCCTGAGGGCTATCAATAGGAGCCGTCAGAAGTTTCTGCTTTCCTGTTGTAAACAACAAACAAACAAACAAAGGCTCTGAAGTAAAACCTTCCACATACTATTGAAATGGTGCTTATTAGCAACCATAGGCTTTCATCAGGCCACTGAATGCTTGGAACAGTTGAAGTCAAAGGCAATACGTCTACTTACTCATCAAAAAATCAATACGACCTTCACAGTCTTAACCTCAAGGATACAGGAGAATCCAGGGAGTTTTCCAAAGAGATTTCCAATGAGTTTTCAAGAGAGATTTCCGATTGAATGGGCAAGCCTTAAAAGTCTATTATAATAACTGAGGCAGATAATAAAAGAAAATAATAATAAACCTCTCTCAGCTCTCATAAAGGATAATAAATGAATCTTCCCTGATAGCTTCTTATTGTCAGGATGAGGCAAATGTACAAGTGATTTATGGTATTAATCAAATAATATTTTAAAGCCTCATAAAATGTCTTTCTGAATGGCAACATGAGCTGTTTAGTCCTGAGGCATACTAATAATGCTGGGCTTAACATTCCCATAACCTAATCTAGTACTAAAATAATGATTCTATTTGACAGCTTTCAGATCAGATGAAGACAAAATCAGCAAATAATGAAGAAAACTAATGTCACAGTTCCTCCACCTCTAAAGTAACGAAGTGGAGAGTGTTCATCACTGTGTTTATACCTCTACCCATGGGGCATATCATTACATTTTCCAATTAAAATCTTCGTGAGCAGGAACTTTTTTGAAAGCTTTAATTTTATTTGGCCTATATAGGAAGCTAATCACCTGAACAACAGAAATATTAGAGATATCCTTTGGAATTGTACAACACTAAAGACTTCAGGCTTTCAAAGTACAAACCTAAACTAAGTGATTTCGGTTTCCTCATACCTGTCCATAGAGAGCTGGGCCACCAGGGTGACGTCAGTCTGGTCGGCGCTGGGCTCGTACTCGTAGTGCAGGAAGTATAGATGTGTGCGGTGAACGGTGAAGCGCTCCCGTCGGAACTCATAACACGGGTCGTCTTCATCAAGCTCCAGCAGAGTCTTCTGGAGCTGAGAAAACATCAGAAAAATCAGTCAGACAGCATGAAAGAATGCATTAACTGACACATGCTGGAGACTCTGCACTGTGTTAAGACTTTCTGCTGCGTGACCTACATGTACACTACTGTGCCAGGCACCATTGCAGCTACTGTGGATTCTGAGGTAGTAACTGCTTACTAAGTCTTGTCTGGGAGTTTTTACCCAAATATGTTCAAAACTATTTGAATATTGTTATGATATTTGGCATTGCACAGCATTGAAGGATTAGTCCAAAGTTTTTCCACAAAAGAAGATTTTTTTCCCAGTTTTAAATGACTTTTGGTGGTTCTTCTGTCACAGTCACAAAATGTGGTGAAAGCAAGATAAGGTAAAAAAATATACTCCTATTGGTTTCAATGGGGCATAGAACAGCAAAGCTTTTAGAACCAGTATTCTTCAAAGTTCTCCAACATGTGAAAGTGCTTAAATCTGACATTCTCACTGTTGTGTTCTACGCTGCATTTTTTCACTGTTATTTATTATATGTGTATCTACATTTTCACTTTTATTTACTACACCTGTACCTACATTTTCCCTGTTATTTATTATATGCATACTTACATTTTCGCTGTTGTGGTCCGTCTCGCTCGGGCAGCCAAACAGCTCTCTCCTCAGTAGGTTCCCATCATATTCCAGGAAGGTCAGATAAAGGTTCCTGAAGAACTCCACATGCTTGTTCTTCACCCGCAGCTTCTTAGGAGAGTTCCAGTGGATCACCTGTCCAATCAGACAGAAACAAATTAATCATTTGGTAGCTTAAATTTAAATCACAGACCTAGTTGGACCAAAGCAAGTGAGTTTTGGTCAAAGCTACAGGGCAAAAGAGAACCTCCATGTGCCTTAAGCAAAACACTTCAACTCCGAGATGACCCTGTACTACAGGGAAAATTTCACACTTTAATTAACTAGAATTTGGTAAAGAACAGGGGGCTGAGTCAGTCCATGGAAATTAAATGTCAGTCTGGTCCACACGTCACTGTTCACAAAGGGCTCAACTATGTTCTTCTCTGGCTTTTTATAATTAACTGATATTGTCTTTAATGGCTTATAATCTATTAGTTTGATTTAACATCACAGACTTCTACATTTAACATAATTTAACATTTAACAAAGATATATGTTTGTAGTAGTCTGTCAGGAGTTTTCTGACAAAATTGTTTGATGTTGCATTTTTGGAGCCTACACTGCTAAAGTTAGCACCTAGTAGAGATACCACCCCATTTATTGCCCTGGAAACTGGAGTAAGTTGATCTAATTCTTGGACATTGTGTAAAAGTGATGTATTTACAAGAAAAAATGTTGAAACTATGTGATAATGGAGGAGGTTGTGTAGAGAGGAGTATATTTTTTTATTCTGAAGTGAAAATGTCAGGCCTTTGGGTAAGAAGTCCCTCCAGACAAGGGGCACCCCCTCCCACCCTTTAGTATTTTGCCTTAAAATATTATTAACTTAAATTTCATAATAAAAACACAAAGTTGTTGACTGGAGTTTCACCGGCATTACATGCTCTCTATAGTGATCGTAAGGCAGAATTAGGCACATGTGTGAAGTTGCGCTACCACCCTGTCCAGGTTCATGCACAAATCTGATTTAGCATTACAGAAATTTACAGTAAACGGACACTGTACATGCAAAATGTATTGTATTTTCCCCATTTTCCTGAACTATTAGCTGACACTAAAGCTACAACAACTGTGCTATAGGTTCAAGGGTCTCAAGGGTTGTGCTAACCTGTCATGGCAAACTTTTGGGTTCCATAATTTGATTTTCTTTAGAATACTAACGCCTGAACCTCTCTGGTGGTAATTTTCCTGGTAAGAAGCATTAAATGATGTGCATTAAATTATATTTTCTACAATGTCTCCAAACATGTGTGATCACACATGTAAGTAATCAACGCATGAATAACCAACATTTTTAAAAGGTGCATTTTGAATGTGTTTAGTCAGAGCAGCATGACAGGCCTTCTAACCGCTGTTGTAGGAGTACAGAGGAGGATTTCAGATTGCCACAAAATTTTGCAAAAGCAAATGTAGGTGTTAGAGAGGAAGATATTAACAGATTTCTCTCACACTTTCAGCTTCTGCTGTACTTAAAACAGCCTCTTCTTCCTGCAACAAATTCAATGTTTGGCAAATCCCCCACCTGTGTATAGAAAGTAGGTTTGGCCTGTAATCCAAATAAGTGAAGAATAATTTGACATGTTGAGATTCTGCCTACATATATGAATGATTCTAACTAGATTCTCACGAATGAGGTTACTGCAAGCAGTTTTAGCTTTTAATCTCTTTTTTTCAACTAGGAATGACATTTTTCATTCCTTACTGGTGTAAATTGTTTTTTACTGATCGAAATGTAATAATTTCTAGTGGAATTTTAATTTTCACATGTGTAAATTGAATTCTGAGATCAAGACAAATAGGAAATAGAAGCTATAGTGGCTTACATAGTAATTCATTTCAGCATATCAATGTAATTTTTAATCATGTGGAATTCTTACCACTTTTTGTAAGTAATTTTTTTTTCGTATCAACAACATTTTCTGATAAAGAAACTGTTTCTTGATTAAAAGTTAAATGGTTTGTCACGTTTGTGCGCTGAAACTCCTACTAATATCTAGAACCTTTTCCTTTCACATTTCTTTTTTCTTCCTGTCTCACTTTTTACAGTTGGTAACAGTTTGGGTTAAATTTTCTGCAGCAGAGTTAATATATTCCGCAGTTTAATCCTGTATCTTTTTCCCATTGTTTTATTTTTGCTGCATCTTTACAGTAATAGTTAATTCAAAGAATTTACTACTTCAAAGAATTTACTATTATTTGCCAGCACTGCCTCCCATATAATTCGTAGCTCTATGAAAAGTTTGGATTTCTTTGTCTCTGTTTCTTTCATTGTCTCTACTTTGGCAGCCAAATGGAACTTGGGTGTTTAATATGTATGACCTCATTTACATATTTATTTTGATTGGCCCCTGCCTAGGACACCAGTGAAAACACTGCAGCTTTAAAACGACACCGGTGCGCTATTGACCTCCATTATGAATAGCGTTTATTAACTGTACTGCACATTTTGTGTGGTGTAGTGCTGTTGTTTTGGCTCGGTGTGTATTTTGAACAGACGCAGTGTCAGACACTAAAGTCACTCTGTCTGAATAGAACAGCAGTAACAGCAAGAAAGTAAAACAGAGTGAATCTCTTTTTCACACAAACATTTTTATATCTCATATTTTCTACCATCCTTTCCATCTTTCACTCTCTTTCCGCTCACCTTGAGGTCGGACACATCTTTGTAGCACTTCTCGGAGCGGGTGTGATCAGACAGCTGGACGTTCCAGAAGCAGGGCAGCTGGTGAACCAGGAAGGGGTTCTGTTTGATCACAGCGTTGAAGATATCCTGCAAAGCACAACACCAAGCCTTACATTCTATTACATCAGATACAAACAACCCAAGGCATCTGTGAACATGACTGAAATGGACCAGTCTCGTTCGATATAAGGCGGCTGTAAAATAAAAGGCCTCCTAAAGACAAAGCATCACTGAACTTTCCATATTTAATTGCCTGCATTAACAGCTATAATCTAGATAATGTAAGCAGTGATAAAGGGGTGATGATGTGGGTGTTGGTGAACGGTAATCCAATGAGACTGTGGAGACAGCAGGAATATCACAGCAGGAAACAGAATAAAGGCTTCTAACAGAGGCTTTAGGTCTTAAACAGAAGTCATTTACTTGGTTTTATCTAATAGATAGTACAATTAGTATGCTAAATTAGTACGCACTTCATTAGTGTGCGCTAAATGTTGACATTTTACTTCACATGAACTGGACGTGAGGGTGTGAAAGAGACTCTGCTGTACCTGTTGTACTCATGAATATGCTCAGCAGCCCCAACTGTGCGTGTGTATGTATGTGTGTTTGTACCTGATCTGCTAGTGATGTTGACAGCATGCTCATCAGCTCCCTCTCTGCTGTCAGTCTCCACATCTGCTCCCATCTGAGCTTCCTCAAACGATCCAACAGCAGGAGAATCACACCTGTAACACGCACACAAATGTGCACACATCCCCCACACAAACAGCACCATAAATGTAACTAAAAATTGACCAAAAAAGGGTTAGAGACATCTAAGAGGAACCACTTTTAGTTCTTAAAGGATATTTTGTTGGAGGACTTTTTAAAGAACCATTTTTGTAAATGAATGCATGAATGTAAAGAACCTTCTTAAAGATCCTCCACATGATGTAAAGGTTCTATACCAATTAAAGGTTTTTCCTACAACCATAAGCTCACCAGACACAAATTTAATTGCAGGTACTTACAGTAGTTACTCACTATATGAAATGTTAGATCATTTACTGGTGCCTCTCGACAGGGTAACTAACTTTTTATCTCTTCTAAAAAAAAACTCAAATTAAATGAAATTATATTAATCCAAAGAAAACAAAAAGGGAATGGACATTTTGAAAGAGAGGTGCTTTCTGTCATTCTTTTGACCAGGGGTCGTCATCCCCTTACCTCCCCACCGGCATCTCATGCCCTGGTTGTAGTCTGAAGTCTGTACTGAGGGAGAAACTCAGAGGCCCAATCCCATTTCTTATTTTTACCCCTACCCCTTGTTTGAGTGTCACCTTGCCCCTTGGAACTTAAAAGGGGTAGTGGCTGAAATCTTCCCATACGAAATGGGACAACCCTCAAATAAAAAAGAACATTACTTAATTAACAGGTTACTAGCGGTGCTCTGTAGGCAACCCTGTCAGTCTGCAGTGACAGCAGAGGAGCGGTAAAGTTCAGTAACCTCACTGCTGGGCTTTAGTTACATTTAGGGAATGATATGTTTTCAAAGAGGGCAGATGTGACAATTATTCAATATTGCCCACCTCTAATTCTTTGGTGCTATGAAGCTGAAGTCAGCTTTTGCCAGCATCTTGTTCGAATTTTCTCATTCCACCTTAAACGGCGCAGCAGTCCTGATGCCTGAGGCACCAGAATGTAACTGCTGCACCATTTAAGGTGGAACGAGAAATTTAGCTAGCTACTGAGACATCAGCATACTATTAGCAATTTTTTATGCTTCTTATGAAGAAAATGACCATAATACATTGAAACGACATTAAACTAAGATAATACAATGATTATCGTAATTTTTAACGGATAAAATTCTCACGTGTGAGTTTCTTTGGTCGCTTGTGCAGCCATCTTGACTGTTTTTCTTTTTTTCTCCATTTGGAGCGTTCCTCTGAAAACCTCTGTTTGGAGGGCCATGTAGCCTTAATACTTCGCTCTACCCCTCTGTCTCAACTAAAATCGGGACAGCCTACCCCTATACGTGAACGCACAAAACAGAGGGGTAAGGGTCAAGTGGCAGGGGCAAAGGGTGAAATGGAATTGAGCCATAGTCGAGGATTTTAAAGTGCCGATGAACTGTGGAGCTGAGAATAAGCTGAAGATGAGGTGAGGGGTTTTGCGTTCATTGTATGCTTGGAAGTTATTGGATGGTAACCGGATTAGATTGTAGGAAAAAAGAGCAAAGTATAAGAAGTTAGGCTCTGAAGACACTGACAGCTCTGTGCAAAGGTCAAAGACTAAAAAAAAGTGAAAAAAACTGAAAAAACAAGAGTTTCCAAAATAAGTTGAAAGAATATATATAGATACAGAGAAAATGGGGCTGCTAACAACTGTGTAAGACCTGGTAGACCACCAAAACTGTCACCATCAGATAAACAGCACATAAAGCTTTCATCTTTGAGAGAGAGGAGAAAATCAAGCTCTACTCTTGATTCATTTAAAAAAAATCCACAGGTGTTTCTGTCCATCCTTCCACTGTGAGAAGACTCAACACTATAAGTTTGAAAGGATGTGTAGCTGTCAAGAAGCCCTTACTGAGAAAAGGAAATGGACAAAAAGAAGAACATTTGCAACAAACAAAGAAGCTGCTGGTGTTCTCAGAACAAGAGACTGACCACTCAGAGTCCAGAGCTCAACATCACTGAATGTGTTTGGGATTACTTGGATGGTGGGAAGCAGAAAATACAACCAACTTCTAAGACTGAACTTTGGAGGTGTGGACAAATATATCCCTGCAGATTTCTTTGAAAAACTGAAAAGAATGGAAGCTGTAATAAAGGCGAAATGTGGACACTAAATACTGAAAAATTATGTCATTGTTGAGGCATCTGTGTAATTTTCTGCCTTTCTGCTTTTTTGATGCTGAAAACGTAACAACTTGTATTTGCCACATAACAGCCATTTTGATAGAAAATCAAATAACTGAAAGGTAGTCTTTTTGCACTGTATTGCAAGTATTTAATGGTTCAGCTGTTTGGTTTGATTGGTGTCATTTAAAATGAACTCATAATCTTACAGAAGCACTTTAGCATCTGTTTCTATTCTACTCATATTTGACAACACTGTGACAGTTTCATTTTCATATCATCTTTCTGTATTTTATTGATCACTGACTCACCTGTGTTGAAGCCTCTGCCCAGAGCAGGCCAAGGCCGATGGTTCTTCCACAGATTCCCCAAATACCAATCACTCTGATTCTCCACCAGCCCCAGCACCTGCTGACCTGAGAGAGAGGTACATAGATATGTAGATACATAAATTTACAAAGTAATCATCAAATTAAATCAGATTGACTGGAATTACTGGAAGCAGATCATAGTCTGGTCCCTTCACTGGACTTTAGTGAGCCTTTAGGTTCAATGCAGGGCTTTAGCTATTGATTATATTAGTAACCATTGTACTGCTAATCTACTAATTATTTTGGTGATTAATCAAGTAATCAAAGATTTTAAAAAGGGCTGAACAATTAAAATGGACTTGATTAATAAAAACTAAATAGGCAGTCAAAGATTTTGAAATACTTTACTGGGAAAATAAATAAGCTTTTCAGTGACAATTTTTATTTAGGCCCTCCACAAGCTGTAAGAACAAGAGTGAGAGGCAACAATCATGGAAGAATCGGAACCAATGACTATATTTCTAATAGGAACACACTTAACTTTCTGCCACCCAAACATTTTGGCCAAATGGTCCAAAGTGGTGCTTTAGGTTTTTCAGGCAAAAGAGAAAATAGGCTGAAAACCACAACACATTAAATAGGACTTTAATGAAGTGTCAAAATCTAACATCTAACAACTCATTTGAATGATAATGAAAACAAGAACTGATTAAAATCCTGTTTGTTCCGTTCGGTCTGCTGTACCAATCTGCACAGATGCATTCCAACAGTTTAAGCAGCAGCACATCAGCAGTGGGAAAAAAATACTTGGTTGTGTGGAATACACAGAATACAGCCAAACAACAGAAGAAGAGTGTCTGTAGCTACAGGCTTTGAAAAAAAATAATATCCATAACTATGCTGTACATCAACTGAACTAGTTCTATTTTAAAACCATGTTTTTAAAATGGAACTGGCTACATATAGTATCCATGGCCACGCAGTACAGCATATGAACTAGTTCCATTTTAAAAACATGTTTTTCTTTCAGATCCATGTGCAGATGTACATCTGTAATTGGCACTGGGCCAGAAAATCTGCTGAGCAAATCAAAAATTCATAGCTGCTACAAAGATCTGTAGCAGACTTCAGCAATCCACGTACAGATTTCAAAGCTGGTGGCTGACGGTGAAAAGATCTGTAATTATTATATTATATGACTTTCCAGAGATTTTTCTGCATCCACATGTGGAAGACTGACTCATTTACTGGCTAAACACCATCTGATGTATATGTTAACGAGACTACTATGTCCATATGCTGCTGCTGTGCGTGTGTGTCTGTGTGCATGGGTATTAGAGAGGGAATGGATATCTCACTGGCTGAGAGTCTTCTAAGAATGTTCTTTTATATGTATTATTCAGCTTTTCATGTGGCAGGGTCATTATTTATTTAGTATGGGAGAGTGGGGCACAAACTAACATGGGGCAAATGTAACATGGATATTTTATGTAGTTAAACAGGTTCAAGCAGAACATGCTTTTAGTCACATTCTTGTATTCCCATAGCAACATCTGTGACTTTGACAGAAATCAGAAAATTATTTCATGGGATTCATCCTGAAGACTGTAAAACTCTGTGACTTGAACACACAATCGAGTATTGGGAGTATTATTTTAATGTCTCCATTGGTGGGTGCAATATAGCACAATTTTGAAACATATAAATAACTCATAGTGAGGACTAGATATAGGCTAAAGTGCAGCCTCCACATGGTGGGGTTAGTTTTAACACTTTGTTATAACTAAGCCTTCCAAGGTAAAAACAATAGGAAATGTCCCCCATATCAATTCAAAACGCACTCCAGATGTTGTAAATAAAATATATTTCAATGTTATTGTGCTAATATTTGCTGTTCCACTGTATTTAAAAAAGAGCCACATTCAACCTGCTCTCACTATCCATATTTATTTTCATGAAAATGTTTTAAATGTATTTAGGTTGGAAAGCTTATCTGGTTCAAACAAAACAGAACTGTACTGGATTAATTGTATTGTCAATCGATTTACCAGACTTTTTCAAGACTGTTACAACTAGCCCTCATGTCTCTTACAATTAACCCTGAGGTTAGCTGTAACATTTGCACCTGCTCTGCCTTCGGCCGAATTGTTTACCAACAGCAGTGGCTGGAAACAAAGTTCACATTCTCATTTGTAGCAAAGATGTGTGGATTGCTTCTTAAACTAATCTTGATTGAGTACAGTTGATTGAATACAGTTAACAGTAAGGACAACATTCCTAGAGGTAAAGGGGAGTTTTTCAAAAATTTCTGCAAAATTCAATCGTTTATACTGTTTTGATGTGAAATTGTTCAGTAAAGAGAAACTTACTAACTTTGATTTCTTTACTGTGGTCTGATGGGAACCAGGGGTGACACTGTCTATGACGCAAATATAACCCATCTTATTTACTACCCAAATCCACCATTGAACCTACACGTCTTCTGAGCTTTTATATGAAATGTTGTTAATGCTAAAACAGTGGTAAATCTGAAAAATATGTGTTTTCTTTGGGTATTACTTTTCCCTACGATGTCCTGCATGTACCTCTTCACCATGAACGGAATTTAAAAATGCATTTTAAGCCAACACCTTATCTCTAAACTACCATAAAACATCATGCACTGTATTTGTAGCCATTTTGTGTAATAATGTTCAGCGAAGGACCTTTTAGAGGCATTAAGCAATTCAGACATCTGGTTCCTTTCACCGCCACTGTGAACAATCCTGACTCTGTGTGTTTCTTTTCATATTAAATCACTCAGAATGACTTTGTTTACACCTTATTGATTGAATTATGAAGAAATATAAGGACGATTACAGCAATTGCCCATTGACTTATAGAGATTAGGTTGAAAAATGTATTCCTATTTCCTATTCCTTGTAGTCAAACATGACTATATGAATCCAAATGAGGAATTTTCAGTAATAGTGGTGAAGCTGGAACAGCAATAGCTGTATCTGAATGTGGGAGAGTGTGCATGCAAGCATAAGTCTCTGATGACCTTGTCAATGATTGTTAATGTGCGGCAGCAGCAGATAATCTGCATAAAAAGCTGCAAACTGATAGAAATCTCCCCATGCTTGGATGCTGATAAATACATTCATGTGATACAGTGTGTCACCCTTCTAGATACAGATATAAATAGCTAGCTGCTCCTAACAGGCACTCAGCGTTGCTGAATATGGCTTCAGTTTTAAAGTGCCTGTAACCCAGTGTCAATGGCGCGTGGAAAGTTTTACTGTTTTGTAACCCTTATAAATCTCTAAATTGCCTGTATTGGCTTTCGCCTGAGAGGCAAGACCTCTAGTGAATACATCGTTGATTTGGGGATCAATAAGCAGAGAAGCTAACAGAGAAAGTTAATTAGCCATTTCAAGGCCAGAGAAGTTACTGTTGGAAGCAGAAAGAAGCGAGCGTTGGTTTTGTCTGAATAGGCTCAAAGGGACATGTTTCATATAAAGTTAGATTGGCTTTCCGATTCTGACTGCCGAAAGAGACAGTCCCTTGCAAAAAACGCAGCATAATGTTAAAAAGTGCACTATAATATGCATGGCTCTGCTTGTCAACCTAGGGTTTAAATGTAATGGCTTGTTATGTCAGTCCCAATCAGTCCTTAAAGAGTCATGCACAGTGGCCCCATTATGGATATACTTTGCTGTATTTGTTGTTTATCTAATTTTTACCCAGCTCATTAGTCTTTCTCTAATGAGGCATAAAGTTCTGTGTGCTGGAGAGAGTCCCCATAATGAATGATGTAGACCCACATATGTTTTGACAGTTAGACTGCAAGTGTTTTCTCCTAATTTTAGCTGTGTGCTAAAACCAATCATGTTCTTTAAAGACTTTTATCCTGCGGTTATCGTATTGCCTGTTCCTGATATGAAAGCTACATTTAGATCAAGTCAAGCGCAGAGAACATCACCCACTCTCTGATACATGATCAAAAGCAAGATATTTGAGTGGTGGATACATATTTTTGGTGAGGCCTGTACTAGATGTCATTAGGCAGTGTGCTCTTACCAGGAAAAACAGCTTTAAACATCTTTGTCAAAAGAAAACCTTTCCATTTCACTTCACCATGCTGCTTATGCGCTCTCTTTGATTTCAAAATTGGACGTAAACTATTCACTTTTCTACAGTGTTCTACATTGTGGCATGGTTTCAGTTTCATTAGTACATTATTGGGCTGGAATGTGAAAAAAAAACTGCATGGTCCCTAAAACGAGCCCCTGAGGAACTCCACTGATTGTGATAATGGCTCCTCTAGAGGAATACACACAGGAGAGCCTGCCGCTCTGTCTGTGAGTAAAAGGGCAGAAGAAACAGTACCCACAGGAATGACCCCGTAATAAAGACTTATCCAGACCCCCAGAGATCTACATTGCTCGGGAATTGCAGTCCCATGCAGTGCTCTCCAGAAATCTCTTTGCGCCCATGTCCTCCCACCTTTCTTTCCTACGTCTTCCAATTTGTCTGTTACCACTCAGGCTTGCCAGTTTTTACTCTGCTGTAGTGCAGATGATTTCATAGAATCCTGTGCCGTGTAGTTTTACATGCACATGGCCAAAGGGGTAAAAGCTTAAGATTCATGACTGAAGGAGTGCCAGGCTGATCCACTGTAAGAAGGGCTCACCATGCTCCCTATGGTTTTCTCAATGAATGAGCTTAACCTTGTGGCACTGCTTGCCATGAAATCTACTGCAACTTCATAATTCCAGAGACAAAAAAGAATCTTTGATTCAAAGCATGTACCGTTTAGAGAGAGTACATAGCCTAAAGCAACAAGGTTTGCCAGGATAATGAGTAACCTTTGCATTCTGTGAAGAGCCTTAAATACATTCAAAATAAACACAGAACAGATGTAGAATGCCTGAAATGTAGATAATGAGATAAATGTTAAAAACCTTTGAATTTATGAAACACAGCCCACAGCTCAGCGATGTCCGTGGCAAAGGTGATGTCAGTATCCAGAACGATGACTTTCTGTAGGTCAGAAGGCAGCGTCTTGGTCAGGACCAGCTTCATCAGGCCATAGATACCAGAGTAATGCTTGTTGGGAATCCACGACACCTCAGACTAAAAGGAAAAAGCAATGGAAAGTAGGCTTGGGCATTCAGTCAAACTTGATATTCAAATTTATAAGGTGTGATTTGTAAAACAGTCGAAAAATACTACGCTTATATCTTAAACATACCAAAGGAATTTTTATTTCTGTATATTTAATTGTTGGCATATAAATACAGTTATTCAGAGCGGGTTGATGTGAAATGATGCATTATAGAGAAACTTATAAACTCATATTTGTTTACTACGGATGTGATAGAAACCAAGTCATGATGTCTACAATGTAAATATGGCCATTTTGTTCTATGTGAATCTATGTGAACGCTTCTTCTGAGTTTTTGTATGCAATGTTGATAATAGTAAAATAGTGGCAAATCTGAAAAAAAAGGTTCCTTTGGGGACTATTTGCCTTGCAACAGCCTACATGTACCTCTCTGCCAAGAAAAAACTACATTTTACGCCAAAATAATCATCATAAAACAATGTCTCAGGTATCAGGCAGCGTATTCATAACCATTTGTGGAATTTTCTGTTTTCTTTTATTTTTTGTTCTTACTTTAATCTGTTCTTTATTCAGTAATCTGTTGTTTCCAGTATTGTATGCTGAAGAGTCTGCATATTTTTAAGTTTATGACAGTCTGACAAATGCATGGTGCCACACTGCTTAGGTCCAGAATAAACAACCAGTTTCAAGGCCTATCAAGGCACAGCTCCTGTTATTCTCAGCTCCATGTCACCAAAGGTCATAGACACAGGTGTGCTATGTAGCATCAACAATGCTATACAAACAGACATCCTAAAGATCTCCTCAGACTGGGATTTGCAGACAAGAGTGTGACAGACAGGGGTCTGCAGACTGGGGTGTGGCATGATGACTGAGGAAGATCTCTCAAGACTGAAAGTGCAGATGGACAGTACTGTTCAAACACTGGGCCATTACTGATGTTATAATATGCTGCTTAATGAAGAATGTCCTTGCTGCACCCAGTCTCCTGACTCTCTTCACTGGTGCAGAAAAAGATTTACAACTCATTTCACTGAAAAATTTTCTATGAGGGAGATTTTAGTAGCATTTAACTCTTTGGATATCTGGACCCTATCATCACCACTGTGAACAATTCTGACAGTTTGTTTCTCTAGAACGGAGCATTACACAGCAAACCAATCTGAATTATGTAGACATTTTAAAAAAGTTGGTGGAAAGTTATTCCCCTACAACTTATTTCACCTCATACATTTAGCTGGAAAACAGCGAGTTTGTGAAGAGCTAGCTAGCAGATAGCAAACTAAATAATGTTGATAGTTTTACTCTATTAAATATACATATGAAGACTGTAAAATGACATTGAGCTTTATGTTTATCAGCACTTTCCTGTAAAGTTCTGATATGGTACCCTTTAGACGGCTGCAGTAGTCTTTTCATTATTTGGACGAAACAGATAAGAAACTCTGACCAAAACATAAGATGCAGGCTCTACACTGCTCTCTGGCAAAGTTCAGATGTTTCTTAGTCCTGAACCCTCTGCGGTCTAAGGACACTTTCTCGATTTTTGCATATCTTCTTAAATTTGCCTATCCTCATGATTTGACATGACAATCACAGGTTTCATATCAAAACGTTCAGGATAATCTCAGCTCTCTCCATAATGAGAAACTGCTGCAGCAACTTCAGTGGCTGTAAACTTTTTGCACAGTATTTCATGTGTTTCTGATGTCGACTGAATGAAGAACAAAGGTTTTCCAATATGATTTCTAAGTCCTTAGTGATTTCCTGAGTGTCCATTGGTCAGTTTCACACAAAATGCAGACAGACACATGAATCTACCCATTATAATGGGAGGCAGATGATGTGTATCTAAGCCCCTCTTCATAGATGACGTGTATCTCAACCCCTCCCTTCATAGGACGGGAGTCAATTATGATCTCTTGATAAGACGGAAGCGAATGGGCAACTCAACAGATTCAGGAAATGTTTGAACCATATTTCTGCACTGTATTATTGCACTTATCGCATTAGCGAGAAGCTACTTTGCTCATCAAGATTTTAAAATTTTATTTTAGGACTTCCACAATTATCCCAAAACTTAAGTTCTGATCTATCCTTTATGGAAAATACAACTGATTAGAGGACTGCGAATATGCTGAAAACACATGATGCTGAAAACATAAGCAGTACTTCCTCAGGCCTGACCAGTCAACAAATTCAACGGTCAGGAAAGAAATAACAAGAAAACGGCAGAAAACAGTGTTACACCACAGGTTTAATCCACCACTCAGCAAGTGTAATCTGATCCAGGATCAGCAGCAGGACTGACCTTCAGTTCGTCAGCATCGTAGAAATCCACCCGGACGGCCGGCACCATCCAGGTGCGGAACAGGGAGGCCAGGATCTGCTGGGCGATCGAGTCAGTGATGAAGTGGAAGTGGAGAGGGTTTCGCCTGTCACACACACACACAGAGCACAAGGTGATCACGCTCTGAGAGGAAACATAAGTGTGTACTACCACTTCACCAAAGTAAACACAAAGCTCTCTTGAGCCCCCATTCTGTTCAAATATGAATGGAAGTAGAGGAAAGTAAACAGTAGACATTCTATTTGTTTTCTCTCGGTGTGATGAGCAATAAGGCTCTTAACCCTCAGGCTGTTGAAGATAAGATTCTCCTCTTGCTGTCTACCTGATCCTATTGCACAAGTAAGACCATGCTAGACTGTCAAAGAGGGGCTGCCAAATGATTAAAACAATTAATCATGATTCATCACATCGTTTTGTAAGATGAATTGTGATTAATTGCATGTGTCCGATTTGCCTAAATTTGACCCTGAAGAAAGATTTTTTTTTTTTTTGAAAAGCAGTGCATTTTGTTTTAGCTAGTTTTGCATGCAAAAGTTTGTGCACTGATGTTGTAAGTTTATTTTAAGATCATTTAACTTCTTTCCTAATATTTTTGACTTGTTTTAAGTGATTTTATTACGTACATTTATCTCACTATATTGGCAGATAATTTTGCTTGTTTTAAGAAATGTGCTTGCAAAATTATCTGCCAGTTCTTGATAAAAGTACTTGAAGTACTTACTAGTAAAAAAAATCTAGAAATAAGCTAGATAATCTTATAATAAGTGCACAACCATCTGAAAATAAGAAATATTAGATAGATCAACTAGAATTATATAGAAGATAATTTTACTGCAAAAGTTGTGGCACATTAAATATTTTATCTGTTGTTTTTTTCCAATATGTTAAACTCAGCAAGTAAATAGAAATTGAGCAATGAAATTTGCAGAAAAAATGTCATATTTAAGTTTGTTCCTGGTTTTTCATGACTGTATATGAGTGGACAAAATGGGCTTCATCAGGATGTATTTATTACTTTCATTAATAAAATAACATTATTTTTTATCATGTGAATGAGTGAGTTAACATGAACCTGAACATGAAAATGTGAACACAGGCTGAACATGAATATGAGGTGAACGCAGCTTACAAATTTGCTGTGTTTTACTTGCAAATTATACTTTCGACTCAATGTAAGTAAGAGATAAACAAATTCACCATGACGGTAGCTGGAAATAACTTTAGTTTTATCAAGAGTGCCATCAATAAAACTCCTCTTTAAAAGCCGTATGTAAATGAGAGGACTACAGCCGCGAGATTAAGTTACAGCATGCAAGCAGCTGGGCTTCAGATCATTTAGGCTGGAATTATGAGTGGTTTGAAAGATCAAAATAAGAAAATGTGCGCACTGCAAAAAATGGTATCTTGTCAAGTCAAATTATCTTAAGTCTAGTCCATAAATCTAATATTTCTGCTGTTGAGATGTTGTAAGCTTATTTTAAGATGAACTTTTTTTCAAACATTCTTGACTTGCTTTAAGTGATTTTATTACTTAAATTTATCTCACTATATTGGCAGATAATTTTGCTTGTTTTAAGAAATGTGCTTGAAACCAGCAGTATTATCTGCCAATATAGTGAGATAATTTTTCTTGACAAAATTATTTAAAACAGGTAAAAAAAATCTAGATGCTAGCTCTTATATTAAGTGCACAACCATTTTAAAATAATATAAGAAATAATAATAATAATATAGAAATATAAGATAGATCAACTAGAATTAAGATCATTTCACTTGGCACCAAACTACTTTTTGCAGTGCTAAGAGCATTAAAAATGAGTGTTGTTAATTTAACACATTAATAGTGTGCTAACTCAGACACTACTAGTTTAAAATGGGTTTTCTCTTATTTATTTATTCATTTATTTTCATGTGTTGTAACCATACATGACTCCTCTCATTAAAGTAATATTCCAGCATCTCTATCTGCCGCATCTGCACCGTATGACTGATTGCCACAAACAGTTTGGACACATTTTCCTGTACTTACAAGAAAACAGAAAGTCCAATTGCTCAAAGCAGATTTGTAACAGAAGTCAATGAGCAATTGCTGAACTACACCTTTAGTCCAGTGTTTAAAAATTGGAAACATTTTATCCCTTCAAACAAAGACCTGCACAGAGTGAAAAAGTATAGTTTCATATTTGTACTATACACAAACCAGCCATAACCTCAAAACCACCTCCTTGTTTACTGCACTCATTGTCCATTTTATCAGCTCCAATTACCATACAGGGGTACTCTGTCGTTTTCTTACCAGCGCAACACACAGTAACACAACACCACCACGTCAGTGTAACTGCACTGCTGAGAATGATCCACCACCCAAATAATACCTGCTCTGTGGTGGTCTCACAGGGGTTTTGACCACTGAAGTACAGAGTAAAAGGGGGCTAACAGAGTAGGCAGAGAAATGGACTACAGTCTGTAATTGTAGGACTACAGAGTGCATCTATAAGGTAAGTCAAGCAGATCAAATGGACAATGAGTGTACGTACAAGGACCTTTTAGGAAGTTTCAATATTATGGTTGTTTGTGTATAGTATATACATTTAAAACATATATCAACAGAATTCAGCAACTGCCCACTGGCTCTATTAAAAGTGAATTATGAGTCAGTTGGTTTTCAGCTCTTTCCTAAGTACAGGAAGATTTTTTTGTCTGTGTTTTGTCTTTGTTATTGACTGTAATTGAGTGAGATTTTAATTCACTTTCACCAGTTTCACTAGTGTTTCTTTAATACATGCACCTAAAACTGGTGAGACTGAACTAAAAATCCGTCTCACTTAAAGTTCCCTCCAGTGCTATGTAGTGTATTTTTAAACAGCAGATACAAAAACAGTGCACGAAAACAATAAAGAGAGTGGTGGAGGAATTTCATTCGGCTTGCCCTGAATGATCCTTGTTTATAGGAGATGAAAGAACACCCCAGTGTGGAGACAATATTAGTCTGTTTGCAGCTCTGCTGGATACACTGTAAAAAGGGCCAAGTCAGGTCAGTGTTTAAAGACACTAAGATTTTCTGCTCAACAGAATATCTCAATAAGAAAACCCCTGACTGAGAAACCCTGGTGGCTTTCTGAACTGGTAACACAAAAGAAAAGGCCACAAAATACGACATATACATCTGTGTCATCTACAATATGCTAGTGCTGTATGTTAAACAAAGAGAGTGGCACACATGTCCCCCAGCTGCCAGACTGAATTAAAGCTATAGGGGAAGGGATGGCCATGACTGTCACAGCGCTGTGAGGGTGCACAAAGCCTTGAGAATTCAGCACACATGTTAAGCTGAGTCTGTAAATGCACCCTGACTGCCAACATACACTCTTTCATACAACAGCTATACGTTAATTGACTTTCCTGCAATTATACACACTTGTGAGGCACATGGACCATGTGTGCTTATGAGTCAGCCAACTGTCTCAGAAGTGAAAGCATATTTACCATAAGCACTAATTATTACATTACTGCATATGCTTAATGGAATATTCCACTGTTTCTCAACTTAATCTCTGTCTACTGTATAGACAGCATATGGTTTAATATCACAGACAATCTTTTGACACGGTTTCTTGTTTTTGATACTTAATTGGGTTTATATAGTAATTCCAGGTAGTTGCTATGGTGTTACTATGAAGTTGCTACGGTTTTTCAGCTTGTTGATAGGGCGTTGCTTGGAGGTTGTTAGGTGGTTGCTAAGATGTTGCTATCATATCCCAAGTGGTTGTTAAGGTGTTGTTAGGCTGTTTATATAGTATCCCAAGTGGTTTCTAAGGTGTTGCTCAGCCATTGCTATGCTATCCCAGGTGGTTGCCAAGGTGTTGCTAAGCCATTGCTATGCTGTCCCAGGTGGTTGCTAAGGTGCTGCTAGACCATTGCTATGCTATGCCAGGTGGTTGATTAGGTGTTGCTAAGCCATTGCTATATTATCCCAAGTGGTCACTTAGGTGATGCTAGGTCATTGCCATGGTATTGCAGGTGGTTGCTAAGGTGTTGTAAGGCCATTGCTATGCTATCCCAGGTGGTTGCTAAGTTGTTGCTCAGCCATTGCTATGCTATCCCAGGTGGTTGCTAAGTTGTTGCTCAGCCATTGCTATGCTGTCCCAGATGGTTGCTTAGGTGTTGCAAGACCATTGCTATGGTAGCCAAGGTGGTTGCTAAGATGTTGCTAGACCATTGCTATGCTATCTTACGTGGTTGCTAAGATGTTGCTAAACCATTGCTACGCTGTCCCAGGTGGTTGCTAAGGTGTTGCTAGACTATTGCTATGCTATCCCAGGTGGTTGTTTAGGTGTTGCCAGGCCATTGCTAAGGTATTGCAGGTGGTTGCTAAGGTGTTGCAAGGCCATTGCTATGGCAGCCAAGGTGGTTGCTAACATGTTGCTCAGCCATTGCTATGCTTTCCCATAGTTGGTTGTTGCTTAGGTGTTGCTAGGCCATTGCTATGGTATTGCAGGTGGTTGCTAAGGTGTTGTTAGCATACTTGAATGATGGTGACATAAGAGGAGTGTCCAAAGACATTTGGCTACAGAATGTACACTGACTGTAAAGGTGGAGGTACAAGCATTATATATTATATAAGTGGAATGGCTTATGTTTGAATGAACACTGTATGAACACTCAGATCGGGTTAAAAAGCACAAGCAACCTATTCGGGTATGGTCCCTGTGATGTTGCAAAATTCTAAATTTATTATATAATTTTAAGCATTAATTCTCAGAAATTATGTCATGCATACGATACACACATGGCAGATACAGATTAGGCTGAAATACGCTTGAATATTCCTTTTCTAACACAGAAGCACAACGACAATGCTGGACCGTGACCTGAATGGACAGAGGAGAGAATGGTTATGTTAAAACAGGCCCATTTTCTGGACTGAGGGCACACACACTGTGCATAAGGCCTGGACAGAAAGCTGGCTGCTGATTTGGCAGGTTGCGATTGGGGCAGCAGAATGGTGCTACTGTCATTATCCTGTAGCTCTAGGCTAAAGAACAGGACCCATGCTGTCTCAGAGCTGCAGCGAGAAGGAGGAGG